AAAACATGTTCAAAATAAAAGTTTAAAATTAATAATAAACAAAATCCTACAAATTCGATAAACCAGCTAAAAATTAATTGTCAAATGAGATACATAACACAAAAGGTAAAAAATTAGCACCACCATTTTACAATAATATAGAAATAGTCAAATCACACACCAACATTCTCTGAGCAGAGAATATGCAGGTTTAGCCTTCTTTACATAATTACATAATACAAAAGTAAATGTTACCCTTCGAACCATATATTATGTTGCCGCATTGAAAATTATTTATTCATTTGGGCAGTAACCCATTATAAAAACACCTAACTTCATTTCAACAATTTCAAGACAATAAATAATAATTTAAATGCTGGACAAACCTTTGCCTATAAAAACACATATTTAACGAGTGGATATAGGCCAACTGTGCGTGCACAACCGACAAACTACTAGTTTTATCTCTCTTATCCCTCTTATATAAAGGAGTTAGAGGCCTTAAATAGGCGACACGTGTCCATTTATAGTGCTTTTAAAAGTCGACACGTGTCCTTTTGGTGGACGAAAAAGACCATCCTTTTGTCCCTTAATTACAGGTTTGCCATAAAGTTTATTTGTTGGTAATTAAATGGGTCGGTCACTTCCCGTTATTCCCGCACAAGCTTGCCAGGCTTTTCCATGTCAATCAAGATTCAAGACAACCCGTTTCTTCCATCTGGCAGAATTCTCGCACACGCAAGATGGGAGCAGGTAAACAAGTCCCTTATCACACCCTACCCAGCAATACTCTCATTTTCAATTCTCAATACTCAAAAGGAACAACTGCACTAGAATTTTTGCCTGTTCACAATAGGATGATGACGCGGAGGACGACGACCACCAGTCCATCGACTAAGTCAGTTTCTCGCTCCTTTCGACCAACTCCAGCGACAGGTTTATCACGGGATTCTTCGCCTTCTCCCATCGGAAATCGTACCCCAGGGCATCCGACATCTCCTCGGAGCTCCACTAGCCTTTTCGGAGCTAATCCTACCAGCCACATGGTACAAGCCGGCTGTGAGCAAGTGATGTTGCAAAGCAATTTGCAGATTGGGACGGTTCGAGAGTTAAATTTTAAATTGCGAATTTTGGACCAGAGTGAAAAGATGATATCACTCCTTCACAACTATCTCCAGGCTTTATCTGACTTAATGGCTGTAAAATAGGAAAATTGAGGTTTAATTTAGCTACCTTTTCCTATTTTATACTTTTTTTCTATCTTTTTCTTTAGGTTTAACATTTAATTAAAATGTGAGTTCCCAAATTTGCGTATTGAAATTTGTATCTGCTTGGGTTGTCACGGATATCTATTTCCAAATTTTAGGTTTTGATGCTTGGTCTTTTGATCTGGTTCCTTGATTAAAATTGGTTTTGTGGATTTTAATTGAAATCTTTCAGTATATTTGTTATTTTGTGTGTGCAGATAGGCCGTTGAAATTGAACTACTAAGAACAAAGAGGATATGAAGAAGATTTGTGTGAATAATTGTCTTGAGTGGATATCGTTTACTATTTTCAAGCAGGTTAGGTTCTGAATTCCGTTTCTTCTTTTGCTACGACATTAATCTTCCTGTCACCTTCGAAACGAAACCCCCCTGCCTCAGGTTATGCAAAGTCCTTATGTTGGTTGAGATTGGTTATGCAAAGTCCTTTTGTTGATTGAGATTGGAAAATGACTGCTATTTGTTATAGACTGTATTGATTGAGCTACTGATTATCTAGATTGAGTTCTCATTACTTTCTTAATGGAACTTTTTTGACCTTAAGGTGATGGTGGTCGTACTGTCAATTGGATTACCCTCAACCTTCGTCCTCATCTTAATGGCGTGTTTGGTGCTGGCTATGTGCAGGTATAATTTATTTGTCGTAATTATATATATACTTTCCAAATTTTAATTGAGTTTTCTTACTAAAGTTTCTTGTTTGTATCAAACTTTACGATTTTGGACCCCTGTGCCCGTTTTTGGACCCCTCTGAGGCCCTCCGTTCATCTGCTGTGAAAGAGAAAGCCGACGGTACACACTGTTGCATCACACGATCTCACCATCTGCGGCCTGATATTCGGCAAAAAGCAATCAAAATATCCATTTTTTTATGTTATTAAGGTCTTTTGATTTTGAATAAACATTTCTGGAAAAGGTTTATTTCTTGCGATATATCTGATGTTTCTTGTAAAGCTTTGTTAAATTGTCCACCCCACCTCTACTCATATTTGGCATTGTGTTTTCAGTTTCATCTTTAGTTATGGTTTTACCTTTGTAAATTTACAGGAATCCAACAACATGGCTAATCTTCCCAGACATGGCTTTCAAGGTGCCAGGTATCTTTTGCAAAAAAGTGAACTTTTTTATCATATGGTATGGTAATTTACATACAGATTGTTCATCTTGGCATGTAATATATTCTGCACATGTTCATTAGCTTTGTTATTTTTTATTTTTCCTTTTCCTCTGTTGATATGCTATTGTGATCCATGCTTTAGTTGTCTTGTTAATTTGATTTCTGCTTCTTTGGTGTAGGACATCTACCCCTTTCACCTTCTTCATACGCAGTAAGTTTGGTTGTTAATTGTGTGTGTATGTGTTTGTATTTGCTTGTTGTTAATTTAGTTCATTTTCATCTTCTTTGATGCTCTGTAGGAAATGTTATTCCGTGCTCTGTAGGAAACTTTGCGATTTTTCTTAGTAGGACCATGAATGGAGTCTAGAGACAAGCTGTAACTACAGCTGGATCGGGTTGTATTGCGGCTCTATCAGTCGAGAGATACCTTACGAGCGAAAAATATGCTGATTGAATTTCACCAGACATGTTATTATTTTCTTTGGCCATTTGGCTTATGTATGTTTTGCTAATCAGTTTCGTGTGATTCTTGGAGAGTCGAGATTTGAGAAATGCTCTCTATATAATTAGTGGGAAGCTCATCATTGCACTTTTTAAAAGGTTATAGTTGTTCAGAATGTTACTTCACATTTCATATTATTATTGAATATAATGATTAGTTTGATAATATCCCAAGGATTAGGGACCTTATCATTTTTCTGTTTTTCTAATTTTCCTTTTGAATAAAACCCAGGAAGCTTCCTGCACTTTTAAGTTGGTCTTTTGAGTCACTAGCACAACTTAATCAATTTCGAAACAAAAGAGCTTTAAATGTTAGTTTACACTTCACGAGGTCAATAGTTATAGTTGCCTTATTGTGTGTCTGTGTATTTGTTTTTGGATCAAGTATGTGTGTGTATATAGGTACATCATAGTTCCAAATGGGTAATAAATAGTTTCTATCATTTCCTTTTTATTTATTATTATTTTTATTTTTGTGTTTCTTTTTACTGTTGAACAAAATGCAGCCAGCAACCAAGGAGGTTAAAAAATAACTTACCGACCGGAACGAACAAGAAGGTTCGATATCATGCTCACCAAGCACAGGGGCCAGGTATGAAGAAATCCAGCATCAACAAGTTCTAAATTATACAAATTCTCTTCTGGGGTTGAAACTAATAACAAAAGGACCTCCTTTATCTTCCACAAATTTACAAATGCCCCTTTCAGACATATATTGTTTTACAAATGACCTCTTACTTGAAGAGCTTGAGCGTCCGTTGGTGTGCATTTTTTCCAATTGGTTGAGGTTATTTTATTGATTGTTTACTTGTCGTGTCCTAATTGTGATCAGGTTCAGGAAACATATTGAGAGAGAACTCATGCTTCTTTCAACACAGCGGAAACTATTCCTGAGCTCACTCAAATCGCAGCACGGTTATTTTCATGGCCACCAAGGATTTTCTGCTGCTCAAGTCCTCTCCCGCTGCGCACGCGCGCGTGCTCTCGCTACATTCTTGTTCGCATATGCGCTGCTTTCGCTCCAATAGCAGGATAAATCACTCATTTTTTGCTAATTCGAGACCCTTCACTGCAATTTGGCAGAGGGCCGCCGCTGGATATGGTTATACCTAATGTTAAGCCATGCCCATTCCCAGACCGAGTAAGCATTCATCATTTTGTTGATCTTAATCTCAATTTTCTTTAAGTTGTTTAGGATATTTATCGACCTTTTTTTTTTCACGTTGGTATAGTTGGTGTAATTTTAGCCAAACGGATGCAAGATCTGTTTCGTGTGTGTTGAGTTTGAGTTTTTTTCTTTTTTTTTTTCTCTCTCTATTTATTCAAATCTTTTTACAATATATATGTTGTCTTTATAGTTATTGGGTTAGTATTAACTTCTACTACTGAATTTTATTTTCTTGGTAACAAATGATGCTTAAATTTGTCTGCATAAATATTTATGGGATAGCGGTTCTCGAATGGAATCAAGGCGAGGGGATGTGGCATGTATTCAGGCTCTTGTAATGAGAAGTACGATGATTTTTTTAAAGATTGTCTATGTGAGCCGAGAGGCCAAGAGAACTTATCATATGTCTTCTTTGTAAATTTTAGGTGGGTTCTATGACGGAGGTTCTATTTTATGTCATGCGTTGTGTTGTGATAGAAGCCTATGGTTGTGATTGTCAAATTGTGTCTGCTTTTGAATTACTTTGGTATAGTCCAACCCTTGCAATGCATTTAGTTGGTGTATGTAAACATGTGTAATGTGATTGTTCAAATATTGTAATGAATGCATGTAGCTTATGTTCTTCTCTATCGTTAACTATTTTGTTGCTATTGATTTAAATTGTGCAAATTTTTGACTAAATTTGAGCCGGCTGTGCGTGCAGATAGTATTTCAACCGGTTCATAAAAAGGGAATAGGGGCAACCAAATCTATAGCCCCACCTTTATTTTAGAGTATCAAAATTGGTTCGGTGCAGCCAGGTTCAACTAAGAACCCGTTCGAATCAAAATGCATCCAAGCTGGTTCAACATGAGACCAAATGCAAAACCCTAGATAGGCAGCTTCAACTTTTCCCCTTTTATCACATTTCACTCACTCTTCAAAGTTCAAACACACTCTCCACACAACCGGCGTTTGATTTCACGACCGACATGCTTGCAGGAAAAGCGGCGGAGAAAGATGAGAAAAGGCGCGACGGCGGCGAAAAGCGGGAAGAAGAAGAGTGTGACCTTCGTGGCTGCTCGAAGCTGGTGGAGATCACCTCACTTGAGAAGTTCTTTCAAGAGAGAATCAAGATCGGCGAGTCGGTGACCATCTCCCGCGACAAGAACAAGATCACCGTCACCGCTAATTCGAACTTGTGAGTTTTTTTTAGAAGCTTGTGTATTTGTTGTTGCAGGTGTGTTTTGCTCATGCCTTTTTGTTTTTTACTTGCTTGTTGATGTTAGGTTGCGTTAGATGTTATGTGAAAGAAGGAAATGGGAAGTAATTAGAAAGGGAATTTGCGAGATTTTTGGCTACGAAAAGAGGAGAAAGAATGAGAGAGAATAAAAGGGAAAGAGAAATGAAAGTGCCTTCTTCTCGTAAGCCAAAAAAACTTTTCAGAGATTGTTGCGCGCGTGGAATGGTATTTTATGAAGTGATTGGCTAAGGCAGAATTTTTTAAAACTTCATGAGTAAGAAGAATATTACCATAATGACCTTGTAAAGTAGTCAACGAAGGGCAATTTAGTCAGTTCCAAAAAAGTGGCAAAAACGTAAATAAAGCAGGACACATGTAAATCTTTAAAGAGCTCTAAACTGGAGACGTAAACAACAAAAAAGGGGCAAAATGAAAGGCAAGACACAACCGGAATGGACTATCAGGTCTTTTCTCTATCCCTTCACCATCAATCGGCTAAAGGTTTCTTCTGGTTGTTTAGATGTTCTGAAGTAATTTGACTAAGTTGCAAGCGCAATTTGTGCACAGCACAAGTGTTTTAAGAAATCAGTGGATTCTAATTTGGTTTTTTTTCTAATAATTTATGTTGGGCCTGCAGTGTTTGTGGTACCACATGAATTGTTGGTTTTAGATTATATTAATAATGGAAAAATAACAATTTAATGTTGTTGTGCTTGTATGACTGATGGGTAATATGCAGGTGGGTGTATGTGGTTTCTTACCTTCTGTGGCAGGGGTTCAGTGTGGACGTGGGATTTAGGATGAGAATGTATGGTTGTTACTGAAAAGTGATACTGATAAGATTGAAAAATCATTTTCAAAGATGAATCACACACTACACAAACAAAAATGAAGAACCATGGACAGTTGCTTCAGTCAAACTGTGGCACACAAATCTTGTAGCAATGTTCCAAACTATTTTTTTTTCTTTTTGGGCCTAAATGAAAAGATGGTTGAGATCTACATATTTAATTCGTGAGCTTAATATATGATTAAAAATGAGTTGGGAATAATAGCAATAATATGACAAAGGATCTTGAGAAAATGCCAACTTAACAGGCATAATATATGTAAAGAGCTGCAAGAACAACTGAGCTGCAAAATTGCCTATAAAGTTGTATAATGAGGCATTTATGATGAAAGCTTTTTTTTTAACGAGTGTCAAAATTGGAGATGAATTCGACTGATATTGCAAGTGATGACAAATTTTCATTATATTTTTAGACTAAATTAGAGTCTGCCGTGCGTGCATGGCGTGAGACAACTAGTCTTTCCTATACATATAAGAAGACATTGAGGGGCAAATTTGGGCTTGACACGCGTCTTTTGAGACAAAAATGTCCTTCCTTTGGTCCTGTATTTACAGGTTTGCCATTGGCTGTTGGATTTCAAGCTTGACACGTCTATTTTTGGACGAAAATGCCCTCCATTTTTGCCTCATTTTTCTGCTTTTTGGGATAATGAAGTTATGTTGCACCTGTCACACGCCATTCCCCAACCATACGCAACATTTGACTGAAAACTTTGAAGGGATCTTCTATGGTCAGGTACGCCTCGTACATGCATAACAATAGGTACCCCCCTTATTGACCATTAGATTGATTCAAAATTGAATATCAACCACATATTCAATGTACGAGGTAAAAAAGAATTTGCCTCGTACATATATTCCCTCATGTTGGGTTGTATTAGGAACGTCAAACAACATGCACAGTATTGAACTTTATCGAAATAAATCCTAA